AAGAGCTCCCAAAGCTGTCTCTGCCCGGGCTGCCAGAGTGTTTTCAGAGCAGGCAAATGCAAAAAGGCAGCTCTAGGTGTCCTTCCTGCCCAGGACAGTACAACTTCTGGTGATCCCCAGGCCCTTTCTCACATTTTCTCCCTGCCTTGCACCTAGTTCTCTGGCAAATGGCACCTCACAAGGGAAGGCAACCTGCAGAGAAGCAGACCTGTGGTGAGCCCAGCTGCCATGTGAGCACCCCAAGAAGGGAGAGATGTCTTGGCAGGGGTAGTGGGGAAGCAGAGTTCATTAATTTTTTTACACTCATTTTCGGGAATTAATTTGTAGAAATTATTTTGCCTCGGGTGGGAGGCATTTCCCTCCACTGCAGTTCACTGCTTGCTTGGGAGATCCTAGTGCTGCTCCTCCACACAGGGAGACAGGCAGGCACAAATGTATGCATACACAGGCACATGTATGCATGCCATACCCTGCTGAGGAAGGAAGCCCTTTCAGAGGTAGGAAAGGAGCTCTGAGGAGTGTGTCACATGGTGCTACCATCAAAAGTACCCAAAGGGTTGCATGCCCATCTTGCAGGCACCAGGCAGGATCTTTAGCCAATACAGAGCCCTAGTCCCACTTTTCCCTCAGCTGTCTACCCTCCCATGCTGGCTTCATCACTCCTTCTCTCACCTCCTTTTCTTCAAAGTAATCTGCTGTGGATGTTGACACCCCTGTGGTCTGGCCACAGCCTTCCCTGCTGCTGCTGCTGTTCTGAGTATCCCTGCAGCTCCATGAATGTCTGTTGGCACTAGCAGCATCTCAAGCCAGAAGAAGACAAGTTTCTGGGGTGTGGTGGAAGTATCCTTTCAGAATGGCCGTGGTGAACTCAGTCTGTAGGCCTCTGCCAAGGCAAGAAAAATTCCCTACCAAGCCAAATAAATAGTTAAGTCTGGAAGCTGTAACAGGAATGTACAATTGTCGTAGGAACTTGTACAAGAACACAAAATTGTACGGATGTCTCTAAAGAGGCAGTGATTGACCTCTGGCAAAGGGTTTGCTTGGATAAAAGAAAGAGGAAACCACTTACCAAACTGGGTTTGGTGTGAGAATCAAACCCTGCGGGTGGGCCTGGAACCTCCACACAGACTTTGAGGAGTAGGCTTGATTTGTGGGATGTGCAACAGAAGACGTCTCATGTGAGGAGACATGGAAATTTCCAAGTAATGGCTGCGCTGCCAATGTGAATGGTCTTGGGTAACTGAAAGAAATGGAGAAAAAAAAGGAAAATACTCTCGCTTCAAGAATAGCAGAATTTGCAAAATCTTCTAGAGGTTTCTACACGTTTTTATTCTTTTTTCCAGATTCACTTCAGGGGAGTATCATCTTGTATGTCACCCCAAAGTCCCTTCAGTACTGCTGGCTTTTGCCTGTCCCTTGTCACTGCCAATGGGCCACAGATCATACGGAACACATAACAGCAGGTTTTATCTCTGGGGAGGCATTAATTTGACTCTCCTCTTCCTAGCTTATCTTTAAAACAGAATAAGATATTTAAATGTATTTATCCCTTTGCCAAGGTGGGTAGCATGCTCTGGGGATGGATGGATGGATGGATGGATGGATGGATGGATGGATGGATGGATGGATGGATGGATAATACTGTTGCATAAGCTTTGTGTGCTTAGAAAATCAGACAAAAAGATTTTATTTTCTAAGAGGACATATTCCATTAAATTACCAAGCCAAATTTTCATCTTATTGGAGGAAGTTTCGGCAACACCAATTAGTAATAATAACCAGAAATACCTTTCTTTGGTCAAATATCATTGCTGCTGCTGGATTCCCCATCAGCTGTGCTTTCAGACATCTGAGAAACAATTAAATTCCCATTTGTACTGGTGGCCTCATAAATCGATGAGCAGCCAAATGCTACCACTAAGGACAAGAACCACAGCAATAATCTGCAGGAGGTTGTGACTGAGGAGGCACATAAGTGTGCCGCTGGCTCTTGTTTTGGGTCTGAGGGTGGCTGCAAGACACTGGCAGGAATGGAAACAGGGCAAAGGCCACTCCAGAAGCTCTGTGAAAGGACCCGTGGAGCAGTTGAGGGAATACTCCTGGGGCCGAGGGAGAGATGGTGATTTGACATGCACAGAAAACCCCTTTACCTGGCTCCTTGTAATGAGCAGGGCTGTATCAGAGGTCTGAATGTCTAAAAAGATTCTTCAGGGTCTTGAACTGCCAGAAAAGCTGTACCTACAAGTAACACCTCAGCAGTGTTGCTCTAGAGTTCACTTTGGGCCCAATGACACACCTCTCTAGAGAGGTCCCATTGGAGACAGGAGTAGAATTAGAGGTTTTAAAAGAGACATTTACATACTTTAGTGCCAGCAGAAGCACCTGAGCACTGCAGAAAGGCAAAGGGGGTCATGGGAAGATATAAGAATTGGTTGCTTAAAAAAACCCAATTCTTTCCAATAAAAATGTAAAAGGAGGGAGAGTATGGACTAAGGCAAATGTTGAAGGACCCACAATCCTCCCCTCAGGACTGCTGAATACACTCCTTGGGCAAATGTACTGAGAAGTTCAGCCAGCACAGCTGGGTACTGTGGGTAGCTGCCGCAATAGACCTGCAGAAAATACAGTGAAGTTAGCCCTGGTGTCTGCCAGTTAAATTGGTATTCCTAGAGCCTGGCCTTTTCCATCACATTAGGTGTATCCTTTTGTGTGCCATCCACTTAGGGCCAGTATAAGTTGGCTATGGCTGGTTGAGTCTGTGAGAAAATGTGCTGTTAAGGGCTGACTGGGCTTCTGAGTGATGGCTGGAGGAGAGCTGCCAGCACCTCCACTGAAATGGGATCACAAAAACAATAAAAACACATCTGATCTGACAACAGTGCAGCTAGCACAAGTGATGCAATCTGTGGACATGCCTGCATCTTTCCAGAGACAGCATTTCAACTTCATTCACTAAAGCAGCTCAAATGCTCTGCTCTCCATGGCAGGGACAGGGGGGCAGACAGACATTCCCTACTGCTATGACTTTACTCCATATTACAGTTTCTGATTCCCTGGGGCTTGAAGACAGGATAGTGTTGATGCAGCCAGCTAGTGATGTTACCCAAGCTCTTCTCGTGGGCAGGAGCTCATTGTTCAGGGATTCTGAATCAAGAGGGACATACAGTGTTGGTAGGAGACTCTGTGGATCTGGATGAGATGTGTATCTTCTCACTCTCTTCTCACTCTCAGATCTCGAGACAAAAATTTACAGATGTCCGTTGCAGAATTATTACTCAAACTTCTAGGTGGCAATTTAGATGATCTTTAATGTACTTTCCAAGCCAAACCATTCCACGATTCTATGAATTTTCTCTGAATGAATGTTTTTATTTTCTGAAGCCATAAATGCCAGTCATTTGCTGCAGCAGCTGCTGTGAAGTTCTTGGGTGCCTCCAGACATGTGGTCAGATGTTTGTTCAGCTTTCATAACAAGTTTGAGCCTGGGACAAAACCAGGGGGTCCAGCTGCACCTGGCACTGGACAGCTACCATGTTCCAAGTCACTTTCCCTTGCCAGCCTGTGATAAGAAGCAAAACTAGGCATATATGATAGTAGCTATCCCAAACATCAATTATGCCTGGCATGACTGAGTGACTCCAGACTTCCAGAATGGACTTGGAAGATTTCAGAAAGGGACGTAGATCTCTTGGCTGGCAGGCTGTGCTCCAGGAATGAGAGATGTGATCATGTCTCTTGCTCACAGGAGCCAGAATGCACTGACCATCTTCAGATTCTGCTGGCTCCAGCTTTGGATGGGTGGAGAGCACTGTAATAGCCCAGGGTTAGTATGGGACTGTTCTCCCTTAATGGCTTCACCACTCATGGTTGTGACTGGCTCAAAATCTGAAGAGGTTGTATCATAATTACAAATTCTACTAAACCAACTATTGTGTGATTTCTGAGCCTGATTAGATTGAGATCTAGATCACGAGGCTTCTCCAGCTAAACTGAAATTCTCAACCACCCAACCTGGCTAGGTAATTCTTTCCTTTTGGTTTCTATTGGGTTAAATCAAATGCATTTCCTTATGGAACCAAACACCATGCATGGTTCTGCTGGCCCGTGTCCAATTGCTGTGGCTCACAGACCATTGTAGGAATACCTGGTTTCTACCAACTCACACTTGCACTGTAAGGCTGAGCCTGGCAAAACGGACAAGAACAAACTGAGAAATAAAGGCACTTCTGTTGAAATACCACACTCAGAAAAAGAAAAGACCGCAGCACACGTAAGATGCTACTTCCCACACCAGGTTCTGAAAAAGAGGATCAGACCTTTATCCTCCTGTCTCTAGTCCTTTTCTCCATGCTAAAAATTTCACTGACAGGAGAGGAGGGGCTTTGTGTGCTCAAGATCTTACTTAACCAGCTGTTACCAGGGTATTTGCAGGGTTCATGAACTCTCTTCCCGTACATCTCTGCTCTAAGAGGAGGCTGTTTGCTTTCTGGTAAAATTCTGTGCCACTTAAGAAGAAAAATCCTATATTTTGGGGATGATAAACACTTTATAGGTAAGAAACCTTGTGCTGTTATCAACATTAACTTAGGAGGGACACACAGTAATTGTTGCATCACATACAAATAATGTCACTATCTTCATCTCAGCTAAAAAGTTAGCAGGCAGATGCAGACAGCATGTGTATCTCCCCGTAGCAGCCTGCACATCTTGGAGCTCCTTAGAGCCTTCCAAGAACTCTTCAGAGGATCTCTCTCCTGTTGTGTTTACAGCCCACGTGTACCCCAAACAGCGCACACTTGCTTTTTTTCCCCTACAAACACATGTATTTGTTATAACACCTTGGGAAGGAAAAGGGTGCTGCCTTTGCAAAGTTAGATAACTGGCCCAGTTCTTTGCTGCCGGATTGGCTGGGAGAGGCCCTGTAAAACCACGCTGGCCAGGCGCCCGGCCCAGCCCTGCAAGGCTGCAAGCTATTTCCACAATTGGCCACTTCAGAGTGGGAGAGGGGGAGGTGAAGACAGCTAGGCAAGCTGCATCTCTGCCAGGCTGCTCTCCTTCCTCCTTGTTTTTTCTCAGAGTAGTTCGGCAAGCCCGCTCTGGGTGCCTCCGAGCCTGTCTAGAAACGCTCAGGAGAGTGGGGTGTAACGTTGGTGGCCAGGCACCTGGCCCTCCCTTACCCCTGCTGGCACAGTCTCAGGACAGGACATGTCAAGCTGCAACACCCCTGGGGGCCCCACTGCCCTGGACTTTCCGGAAGTCCTGAAGTCCCTACTGGAGTATTCCTTGCCCTGGACCAACAAGATGACAGGTAGGATTGAGGAAATATATACTAGGGGCTCTGTTTTGATTTCTCCTTCCCCTCCTTCATTTGCAAGAGGAGAAAGGGGCAGATCTTGTTTGCTGCAAGCCCTTTAAGGGTGTGTTTCCCAAAGTGTCCAAGTCAGACAGAGAGTTCTGGCACTGTGCAGGTTGTGCAGCTAGGAGGAAAAACGGCAGCAATGGATTGATTACAAAATCAGTCAAGAGTGCTGACCTCCTGTGCTCAGCTACTTCTTGGAAAACCTCAAAGATTAATGCACAGAAAAGGCTTGGGCACAAATCTTCATGCTCGCATAGAAGTGATTTCCAGGATTGCCATTCATTGTTGTCCTATGGTTAATAACCACTAAACCTCCAGATATTGCCTCTTCCCAGACTCAGACTGTCCAGAGAGCCCAGCCTGCTTGGGGCAGCCTGATTCTGTGCAAACTTTGTTTGATACTGCAATTGTTTATTTGTGAAAAGCTGGGGTAGAGAATACGGTAAATGCTGCATTTTCTTTGCAAGAGCACTTCTGTACTCCTAGGCTTTCTCACTCTCTGCACAGCATCCTAGGAGACAAATGGAAAGGACCCAGGAGGTTATTTAGTTTGGGCTTTTGCTGTGCTGAACACTTTGCTCATGCTGCACTGATGGCTTTTCTAATGCTGGGTCTGCTCCAAGCACCCATCACACAGCTTGAGTACTCTATGATTTTGGATAGGATGCTACACACCCTTGACAAGCTGTTTTTGGTTGTTGTGTTTTAATGTTTGCTGCTGAGCACTGGGGAGGTATGTGGGAACAACTCAGCACAACAAGCCTATGTCCGGGCATGAGCGAGTTGAGCTCACAGAAACAAACATGCACAGAGCTCGCTCTTCTCTAGGGAGTTGCTACCAGGACAGCCAGGCAGCTCTGCAGTGTTGAGGGGCAGCAGGACCCAGGAACAGAAAAGCCAGACACACTGTGGAGAAGGACCCTGCTCTCGCTCCAGGGTCAATGGGAGAAAAGGCTGCTGCTGTGACAGTAAAGCATTCATGTCAGGAAAGGCAGCTGCCTACACCTGCTGCAATACAGTGAGCCCTATGGCACATGCACAGCTCCCTGTGGGAAAGGGAAATAGCACAAGGGGGAACTGCCCCACCCCTAAGGGGCTCGTTTTGTCACATTGCTCTGCTGCTGCCTCCTGTGAGCTCTCTCTTCTTTGCTGAGACTGCCCATGAACGGATGTGTTTACATACCACACCGTATGAAGTCCCACTGTTTGTGTGGACCACGGCATGTTTTCCCAGCTGACAGTACCCAGGTAGAAAGTGGAACTGTCTGGGAGGAGGCAGTAACAGCCAAGGGCAGCTTGTGGTGCAGAGCCTTGCTGTGGCTAAACTGAGTTTGGCTGCTTTTCTGGGATCTCTGTTCTCCACAGCCAAGTGGATTCAATTAATCCAAGGGAGGAGTGCTGGCAAGACCTATCTGTTTAGAGTAGGGGGTAGAGGAGAGATCAATGATTTGAAGAGAGAATAATTTACTCTTAACTCAATGTGACTTATTTGGCAGCTGAGAGTGCTGTTTTGTGGCAGCTTTCTTCCTCAGCTCCAGGACCACCCTGCCTCTCTGCATCACTTCCCATACTCCTCAGAACTGTCTTTATTATGCTGCCTTCCTCTCCAGTCCAGCATTCCCATCGTGGCCCTCTTCCCACAGAGCTCAGTTCTCTCCTCCTGGCTCTCCATACTTGGACAGCACACATCTGGATTTGCTAGCTTTCAGGCCTCTCTCTCTGAAATTCTCTATTCTGCTATTCAAACCTCTCAGTGGGGCTTGCTGTACATCTCCCCCTCCTCACACCTTGTGCCCAGCAGTGAGCTGCTTGCTGCTTGCCTCTCTCCCTGCTGCACCCCAGAATGGGCTGTTCTGTATCCTCTGGCCTTGACAAGACTCTCGGCAGTAACAGCCAAGGCCTCTGCATTCCTCTCTTCACGTCTCACTGTCCTCCACACTTCCTTCTCAGCTGCAGAGTGAAAGCCAATGTAAAAATCCCAGGCAGATGCCAGCTTAACTGAGAAGGCACAGCTTGTGGTACATTGCCTGCTTTCTGTTGGCAATTCCTTGAGCACCTAATCCCCAGATGCAGTGAGGAAAAGCTCTCAGGGCAGCCTCCCTCCTAGCTGGCAGGGCACTGCTAATGCTGGAGCAGGGTGATGTGAGGCAACCCACAGGAATGTTCCTCAGGAACTCCCTCCCTCCTGCCTTTGGGAAAAGCAGCTAACACTGTATCATCTAGACCCTCTCTAAGTAAAGTCACAACTGATGGTGGTGCATAAGAACAAACCTTAGCATAGTGGGGCACGGGTGGAAATGTGCTGAAGGAAGAACATTGTCAATCTAAAGGGAAAAATCCTGGAGCAAAAGCTGCTGAGTGGTTTTAATAACATTCCCTCATACAGACATTGCCCAGCAAAGCCACTGCCATTGAGCTCTGCAGGGGTGATGTGCACAGACCCTGTTCCTTGAAGGAGTGTTGTACAGTACTTTGGCACAGCATCATCCTAGGGGGCCACCAGCGTTAACAACAATGGAACAAAGTGACCATGAGAGCCACAACTGAAGGGGAAGCCTGCAGCCTGCCCCACTTTGGCTGCATCCACTTGCCTAAAAGCTGCTCCTTTGTGACCTCACTTGGCTGTGTTCTCTATCTACCACCTATCAGTAGCTGTTTCCTAGACAAAAGCACCACTGCGGGCTTGCTGCCCCTTGCCAAGCTGTGTGTGCTGCTTCTCTCGTGTGTGGTCTGACATCTGTGTCTCATTACCCTCTGTGAAGTGGCATCTCCTTTTCACACATGTGCCTTTTCTTCCTGCCAGCTGAGCTTGGCAAGGCGGAGGGAGTCTGTGGAGGGCACGTAGCGGCCCTGGAGCACACTGGGCAGTGGAGCATGACCAGCTCTGCCTGCTTCTTGCAACTGGATTTATCAGCCTTGATAAATGATGCATTAACCTGCGCCATTCCAGCCTATATTAACAAGGTATCCTTTTCCAAGCTTCCCGCTGGGCAGCACGTGTGCAGGAGTTGCATCGGGAATCCCACCCGTTCCCTGTGAAGGAGGGAGCAGATTTGGCTTCCCACACCACGCAAGAGAAGTAGCTGCTGGGTAGGGCAGCTCCACATCTGGACATGTCCCCTGGTCCTCATTGCAGTAAGACAATGCAGGAAAACATCTTTCCTGTGTGACTTCAAATCCATTCCTTTTCCTGGGGCATGTGAGGAAGAGTTTACACTCGATTTTTTTGTCACAAAGACCATCAGGGTTTATTAATAAGGATCAAGTAAAATTGTGCCTTGCCAATTAAATTTAATGTCAGAGGTTTGTGGCGGGGAAGTTCGACCAAGCAGATGCCCAACTGCCTACCTGAGAGGAAGATGTCTTTTTTCTGCTGGCACATATGGGAACGCCTCTGCTCTCGCTCCCGCGGCTCTGTTGGATGCAGACGGGCCGGTCCCAGCGGAGGGAAGGGGAAACCCTTCCCTTTCCCGGCTCGCAGCACTGCATAGTAGCTTCGCTGCAGCCCATCCTACCGAGGCAAGAGCAGCCACTGCTGACAGAAGAAGCCTGTGGCTGCAGAATCTGACACTTCTGCGGATTTATTCATTCTGTGGGAGATGCTCCTCAGTATCCATCTGTGCTCTCGGGAACGAAATTGGCAATATTTGCTCCCTTCGTGTGTTCAGAAGCTTAAATCCCATCACGGCATCCCTGCTTCTAGAGCAAGGGGGCCGCTTGGAGAATCACAAGAATTTCTTGTGATCATGACTATTTGGAAAGGCAGCCTTTCCTCCCTTCCCCCAGCAGCCCGCCCATGCCGGCACTGCAGTGAAGTCCCTCTCCCTGCCCGTGTTATGTAGGGCACGCCGCTGCGGGCATCGTGTGGGACGGAGGGAGATTAAATCCAGGGCACGCGCGAAAGGTGATTTCGGGATCCTGAACGAGGATATGCAAGGGCGAGCTAGAGCGCTGGTGCCGGGACAGGGCGGGGAGGGGGTTGCCAGGCGTCGCGCTGCCGGGACGGCCCTCACGGACCCCGGGTCGGTAGCGGCCCCCTCAGGCGCTGCCGTGCACGCGCGAACAGTCGGGCGCGCGGCGGGCGAGCGCGCGCGCCGCGGCAGGCGGGCAGCGCTCCCCCGCCGCCCACGCGCGCGCGGCCTCCCCCCGCCTCCTCCGCCTCCTGACGGTGACGCAGCGCCCGCGGGAGGAGCGGGGAGGGGGCGTGGCTCCGAATGCTAATGAGCCCGCTGAGGCCCCGCCCCTGCACGTGCCCTGGCGGGAGGGGGGCGCGTGCCCGCGCCGGCCGCGGGGAGGGCAGGGCGAGGAAGGCGGGGCCTGTCCGTGCGGGGCCACCCCCCTCGGAAGGCACGGGCCAATCCCAGGGCGCGGAGAAGCCGGGCCGGGGCGGCTCATGAATACTGAAGCACGCGCCGGGCGTCAGCCAGCCGCGCCTGCGCCGTTCGCTCAGCGCTTCGCCGCCGCCGGGTCCCGGGGAGCCGTCGCAGCCCCGCGCCGCTGGTGACCGCTGACAGCCCGCCCGTCCGCGGGGAGTATGCCCGGCCGCGCCGCGCACCAGGAGGCGGCGGCGGCGGCGGCGGCGGGAGGACCAGAGCCCACTGCAGCCGGGGGGAGCGCGGGGGCCGCCGCGCAGCAGGAGCGGCGGGGCCTGCGGCGGCGGCGGCGGCGGGAGGACCAGAGCCCACTGCAGCCGGGGGGAGCGCGGGGGCCGCCGCGCAGCAGGAGCGGCGGGGCCTGGCGGGCGCGTTCCCGCTGGTGCTGAAGAAGCTGATGGAGAACCCGCCGCGGGAGGCGCGCCTGGGTGAGCGTGGGGGGGGGCGGCGGGAGCGCGCGGCGCCCCCCAGTTATCCACCCCCACCGCCCCCTTCCCGCCCCGTGGCTCGGAGGGCGGGACCCGCCGGGTCACGGCGGGACTGGCCGCGGGGGGAGCACCCGCGGGAGAGGCCGTA